CTGATTAAATCATGCATCTTTACATCTTTATCTGAAACACTTTCCAATAAGCAGGCTCTCACCAATTGATTTAGTATTGAATGACCCCGGTCCTCCTCTTCTTGCATGCTCAATCTTCTCTCCATCAGCCCTTCTGAAATGAAATATCCAATCAATTCTCGTCTTGAAATACAATGATCTTCAGGATACAAGGAGCAGTACAAAAAACAACTTTTTAGACTTTGATCTCTCAACCGACGATAACTATACAAGAGAATTGGCAAAACCTCATCTTCCATGTCCTCTCGTCCCAAACATGAATTTTCAAGTTCTTTTAATGCATCTCTCCATTCACGAATGTCAGTCAAGCTTCTCACGCTTCCAGCCAATGTGATGAGTGCAAGTGGCAAGCCATCACATCTATTTACAATTATCTTGCAAATCTCTTGTACATCCACAGATGGTTCATCACGTTCAAGTGTCTTCAAGAACAGGTTCNAAACATGACACTTTTAGTCCTTCCAATGCATCTTTCCATTCATGAATGTCAATCACGCTTCTCATGCTTCCAGCTAATGTGATGAGTGCAAGTGGCAAACCACCACATCTATGTACCATTTTCTCGCAAATCTCTTCTACTTTCACAGATAGTTCATCACGATCAAGTGTCTTCCGGAATAGGTCCAAAGCTTCTTGCTTGGAAAGTGTGTTCACTTTTATAATCTTCTTGCAGTTCATACGATGACAAACTTCTTCTGATCGACTTGTTACGACCAACTTGCATCCATCCCTTTTTAAAGGAATGCCTACCTCCAATGCCTTAATTTGTTTCCAAACATCATCCAGTATAAGTACGGATCTCCCTCTTTTCTCAAATTCCCGGAACAGTTGAGCTGCCCTTTTCTTCACATCACTCCCACATGAAAAATCTAGTTTCAATGCTTCGGCAATGTCACTTTGCAATTCGTAAATGCTGAACTCTTGAGAGACGGTGACCCAATAAACATGACCCGAGAATGTGGATTCCTTCAAGAGCCTATCATGGGCTCGCATTGCCAGAGTCGTTTT